ATATTACTCATAAAACAGATCAAGAACATTATACCGATGCTGATGTTATAACACTACAAGAACGAAATATTATTCATAAAACAGATCAAGAATAAAAAGAAAAATATTAAACATATGTAAATAGAAGCTAGAATACCATTGTTTGCCTTTCTTTTTTTACTTATCGTATTTATAATAAAAATATAAATAACATATTATTCACTCATGTAGTGTTTGTCTCTATGAAGTTTTCGTGTAGGATGATGTCAAAGTTTTGGCGAGAAATTTGACAGATTGTCGAAATTCAGATGACGAAATTTCACACACTCATGACAACTGGCTGTTGAGAAGTATGATTCTCTTTTGTTACAGTTACAATAAGTAATATGCTGTCGATAAACAAAACCAGTCATTTGAATAAATTCTAATAACCATCTCGTGACAAAGCATCAAAAAATTTTAAATGACTATCAAGTCGAAATATATTCTTAGATAGTATTCTATTGGGCGATTCTCTGGGAAATGTATGACGATTACACCTACTGCATTCGAAGTGTTTTAAACTTTCAGATGGAGTAGGGCTTAATATCTTCACATCAAAAATCACCTTCAAACGTTTTTAAAATGATGTCTTCATACCTTCCGACTTGAGTGACTGTCTAATTCGAGTTCGAATATAAACGAAAATTTCGAAACTACACCAGTACCTAGTCGGCAAAAGCAAAAGATAAAATTTTATCTGAATTATAATTCTAACTCGAATAGGGTCTACTCTGTGAGAATCAGTAATGCATTTAAGGCCTGAATTCGTGACATAATTTAAACTTATCTTCGGGTGGTCAACTATTCGCTTCGTGGTACCAACACCAGATGCGGTGGCCTGTGTCCGTGTTGCTTGACACTCTTATTGGTAGCGATGGCAGTTTTACATATTTTGGTTCTCACGGGAAATTTCAACTTTCAAAATCAATTCTTTACGGCGAAGTCAGCTACTTTCTGAAAGTTGTGTTGTTTCCGAAAAGTCATTGGATTCCTTGGAAACTCGTATATGCCATCATATGACCTAGAAATTCTCAAGATTTCCTTGACATCCCGCAGAGTATCAGTAAAATACGCTCTGATCCACTGTAGCTCACTCTGAACGACGTTTTAGTCGGAACTTATATCAGTCGATAGCGTTTGAAATTCTGAATCTACTGAATCCCGTTCTGAGCCGTTTTAAAAAATGTTTCACGAAGATTAAATGCAAAAACCTTTTAGAGTGGTCTACTCTGATCCACCCTGAACCACTTTGAGTCCAAAGCTAAAAAAGAAAAATAAATGTTCAGAAAGTTAAGTCAACTCTGACTCTCCTGCATAATTTTACTCATTATAAGTATCAGGCATTCATCACAACTTCATATAACGTCACTTTTCCGAACATTTATTTTTTTTGAGCTTTTGGTTCAGAGTGGTTTAGGGTAGGTCAGACTGGCTCAGAGTAGATCAAAATGGGTTAGAGTGAGCCATTCTAAAAGGTTTTCCCATTTAATCTTCGTGAAATGTTTTTCCAAAACTGCTCAGACTGTAATCCAGTAGATTCAGAATTTCAAGCTCTATCGACTGGTATAAGTGCCTACTAAAACGGCGCTCAGAGTGAATCACAGTTAGTAGTGACACATATTCAGAAAATTGATAACGCTGTAGAAGTTCTTGGAGATGCAGGAGATCTCAAACTACCTTTAAACACATAACTCCATTATGAAAAACTTCTTTTCAATGTTTAGGTTAGAATTTCTGCAAGAGATGCATTTCTCTAAGGAGTGCCGCATCTAAAACTACTTCTCCCACGGAGATGTGGCATCTCACAGCATCTCCCGATGAAAAAATTTTTAGGGGATAACCCCTGCGATAGATGGGTCTTTCGAAGAAAATGGGGTGTCTCCTCGAGAAATGGCGTATTTCAAAAGTGCATATGGCTCCCGTGAAGATCACGAAGAAACCACAAACACATATGCAAACAACAACACAGTCATACCTCAGAATGTGGGCAGGAAGGAAACACAAACAGAAACACGGGCACATATCAAAACACACATGGCGACTTCATACAATTGTAGGTGTGGGAGGAAACGCGAGCTGACACGCAAATACATATTCACCTCTAACAAGTACGGATAAGAGAAAAAATAGGGACACATGGGAGAGCACACACAGCAACATCTCACAGATGTCTGTAAAAGAGAAAACATGGACTCACGATAGAACACAGCCACATCTTGAGTGTGGACGTGTGGATCGATATTCTCTCTTATCCCACATTCACACCCACTCTTTTCCTGAACTAAGAACCCGATTGGAAGCTTGTAAATATCAATCGACAGGCTTCAGACATTATAGGAAAAAAATTTTAAGTAAGTTAGAAATATTATCTTTGGCTTTTTGAGTACTCTAACAGGGCAGCCACCATTAGAGTTATAGTTGTAATTTAAATAAAAACTTCATCTTTTGCTTTTTTGCCATAGTTATATGACAGCCTTATTTGAACTATAAATTAGAATTCAGATAGAATTTTATACTTTTGCTGAACTTAGGATTCCGAGCGCTTTTTTTCCGTTTATTGTCGACGTGATTTTATACAGTTGAATCTTCATTTATATTCGAATCCAAATAAGACAACGTATGCGAAATCCGATCTATAAGGTTTTCTTATTTTAAATGAAGGAAGATTGAGACTTGAAGTTACAACGATGTAAAGTCAAAGCTGGCCACTGAATATAAAGGTTTCGAAAGTCAAGTTTGATTTTTAGCTAAACTTCTGAACTTTCTACTGAAAAAACGAAGAACTGTGACAAGTAGAAAATCTTATATTTAGGATCTCTTTGACATAGGCTATAACAGAAATGTTCAGGATGTTTAAAAATTTTGAAAAAAAAAGCTTAGTAGAATTCCTTCTGAAAAAAAATCATCAATGGTAAAACTGCTTGTTCAATGCTTAAATATCATTTGTTTTTGACAAATTTATATGAATAGATTATGAATATTTGCTTATCTCCTTATTGAAGTTCTTAGTTTTCTCAACAAAGTAAATAAAATGTATATCTAAGTGATAAATATCTGTTCTGAAAGTCTCAGCATTCTATCATTTAAAATAAGAAAATTTTAGAAATTGGATGCTCGCTAAGAAGACTCCTGAAATCGGAAGCCATCAAGACATCAATTCAAAAAACTTTTGAAGATAATGTTTCGTGTCAGAACATTGAGTTATAGTACTTCTGGAAGTTTGAAGTACTTCCGATGAAGTCAATGTCAAGTCTCATACACTTTCAAAAGAATTATCCTATCCTCTTCAATCAAAATCATTTGTAAAAGGAAAAAACTGAATTGTCATTGATATAGCAGAAAATACACTATCAGAATTTATGATAATACATTGAATGTATCAGAAATAAGCAATGTCAGGCATTACATACAGCTTGAAGACATCAATCTTTTATATTCCGATAATTAATTTCTTTTAAACTAAAACATCTATAGATGACACTAGTTGATAGTGCCAATCAACGATAAGATTTAAATAATAAACTCTGAAAATGGTTGGCCTGATCCAATGACAGTTCGTAAAGTAACGACTATTTGCTTCATTGTATCTTATTATTCATAAACATGTTTGTTTTTCTTTCGTATATCTTTATCATACCAATTAATTGTAACATAAACGGATGCAATAGACTAGGCTTTAGTTAGTATCATTACGGAACACCTACTCAAAGAAAAAATATAATGAAAAAAAATCACAAGCTATTGAAAAATAAATGATTACTATTTTACAAGAAAAATCTATCAAAATTATATAATTAATTACATTAATGTTGTATTAAATTGTTCAGAAAAATTAATTGAAAATGATATTGCAAAAGTGCGTGACCAAGAATTTTTAATTAATGAAAAAAAATCATAAAAAATATAAAGAATGGATCGCTGTTAATGGTAATTAAGTTTTTTTTTTCTTTTGATTTTTAAATCTGTTTTTTTTCTTGTTAATCTATCCAAGGTTAGAGTGAATATAAAGATTTACTAGATCAACAAGGATTATTTGATGAAAGAAAAAAACGAACGTATTGTTTATCATTTGTATCATAATTCAACAATATGTTGTAAAATTATTGATAAAACATTTTAGTACGAAAACAATTCGAAACAAAACGTTTTTAAATTAAATGTTGATCATGCATCATTTATAATTGAAACATTTACATATTAAAATTTTTTACCAACAAATTACATTATTAATTGATAATATTGTTAAGAATAAAGTTGTGGGATTTTACTGATTTAAAAAATCATGATGAATTTTCAATAGAAATTATTGAATGGTGTTTCAAAGACGAAGTGATATCAGTGATTATATAGGTAATTTAATGTTACCATTTGATGATAATGAAAAAAAAAAACGATTAGATTATTGAGAAAAAAAATTTAAACGTGAAATGAAAACAATAATGATGATTAAAGTTTTTGTTATTATTTTATAACAATTTCGTCATTTCACTCATATGATTTTTTATTGTATGTTTATTTCTTTTTATAGTATGCGAACAAAGAAAAAAGAACTATCAATGATCAAGATGATGATGCTGAAATATGATCTTCATTGTCTATCTTTATTATAACCATGTTGTGCAGTGGCACCTAAGAGAATGAGAAAATAGAAATACTTGGTGATATGTATTCTCAAGTTTCCTTGCCCTTTGAATTCTTTACAAGCACGTAATATATATTATTTGTTTTTTTTAAATTCTACTCTACATCCATTGTATAATATAATTACTCTCTCCTCCCCAAGTAATATATATATATATATATATATATATATCTGTATGACTAGCTAATCAATACAATAGTCAGACAGACAACTTGATAGATAAACAAATTGATAAGCTGACTAATGATAGTTGAGTTCATCATATATGTATATATACGCTTTTTCTTTTATCAAACATATTCAAATTTTTTTTTTGTTTTTAGATGAATCATAAAGGATGAATAATACTAACTTATCGCCAACATATAATACGTCAGCTCGACGTATTTATCAACGTCGAAATCGAAAAAATCGAACAACTACCGTATCTTCACGAGCTTATTTCCCTTTAACAACAACAATTGTAATAAGAAACACTACATTATTAATAAATTCATCATCAGTTCCTATTAATGATTTATTTGCTCCATTATCTTATCTTCTACAACATAAATACATTTTTCTAATTGGTCTATCTCTTTTAATAGCCTTATGTCTAATATCAATATTATTTCTTATTTTTATATTAAAATGTACAAAAGGTTGGAAAATCCGACGACAAAACCGTAAACATAAAAAAATTTTAAAAACTATTCCTGATTTTATTGTTGATCAACATGACACTAAAGATGAAAATGCTATTTTACTTGAACCAAATGGTGGAATTAATTCTTTAACAAATAATTCTATAATAACAAATGGAATACTTCCAAAAGATAATATTAGTAATACATTTTCACTTGGTTCAATGCTTGAACAAAAAATTATTAAAAATAATTCACCTAATGCAATACCATTATTACCAATGGCTGATGATGCATCAATTGATACATTACGTGGTTCATTGATTTCATCACCATCACAACAAATATCAGTTAATCAACTATCATCAACTCCAACATATGCAACAACAACAGATTCAGCTATAAATTCTGATGATCGAGCTCTTGAAGCTGAAAAAGATGATGATTTACATGATTTAGATTTAAAACGTATTATGCCACGTTATACAAAAGCAACAAATAACAGTAGTAGTAATATATTAGCACATCGTTCATCAGGTTCATCATTAGAACAAAGTATTCGACGACAAGAACGACGTGCTGAAGAAGAAGAACGTGGTCTTTTACATGGTTCTAATTCAAATTTATATGAAAAAGAATTAAGACGAATAGCTGAACAAGAAAAATTTGCTAGAAAAGAACATACAAATTCTCAAGTGTCACTTGCTTCAAGGACTAGTGAAGATAGTTGCTATTAATAAAAAAAAAGAATAGAGCAATATATATACATATAAAAATCCTAATGTATCCCATGCTTTTTGTTCCTTTTGGTTTTTGTTTGCTCAATTGACTTTGCTTTATTTGTTTTTCTGCTTTTTTTTTTCTTTGTCCAATCGTGAAAATCAAAACATTTATTAAATTTACTGTTGTTGTTTATTTGTTAGTTGTATATATATATATATTATTGTTTGCCGTAAGATCATATATACGAATACCATGATGTTTGAATCTCGATGAGACTATAGATTTTTGCTTAAAGCAAAAATACAATTGAAATTAATTTCTTTAATTACGCATTTTACTATTCATCTATAATACGTATTGTCTTTTTTTCTATTCACTTATGATTATCAAATCATATGGGAATAATTTCTTTCTTTTTTTTCTTTTTCTTTTTGTATATTATTGCTGATTTCCTAGAAATATATAATTAAATAAATATAGAATGAAAAAAAATAAGATTTAAAAAAATTTTAAAAATTTGTTATTATTATATCAAATGAATATTAAGTAGTTTTTGATTATGATTATCTTTTTTCCATTGATAATTCATTTGTTTAAGTCTCGCTTTAATATAATCAATAACAACAGTATTATCATAAGAATATGTTCGTGGCCACCAACCTTGTAGATAACTAACATGACCACCTTCTAATGTTTTAATTGCAATTAAATATGGATTTTGTAAAACATCATCAATAGGTAAACCTTCTATTGGACATATTGGATCATCAATAGCACTTAATATAAGTGTTGGAATTCGTATAGATTTTAACCATACATTAGATGATGCTTCACTATAATAATGTTCAACATCACGGAAACCATATTGTGGTACAACAATATGTTTATCAAAATCACGTATTGTTTTAGATTGATATGCTTGATTCATATTAATATTTGGTAATAATTCAGGTTTAAGAAAATGATGTTCATGTTGTCGTATATATCTTATAAGATTATTTGTTAAACGACGATTATATGTATATATATGTAATAGTTGTTCCATATTAGCTGTTGATAAATGCATATCAAAACTAGCACAACAAACAACTGCACCATCTAATGGACACCCATTACTTTCTTCACCAATATATTTTGTTAATATACCAGCACCAAGAGAATAACCAACAGCAAATAAAGGTGTATGATTTCCAACAATAGAACGAATATATTTAATTGATATACGTAAATCATTTGTATCAGCAGCACAAAATGATCTTGGTGATGTTAATTCTGATCGACCACATCCACGTGCATGTATAACTACACAACATATGTTAAGTTTTGAATAAGCTGATAAAGTCATCCAACGAATATATTCATTATCAGATCCACCGGTTAAACCATGAAGAATTACTAAAATTGGTTGTCCTTCATATGGCTGTTTATGCCAATCAATAGCAATTGTTCCACCAATATCATCAACTGGAAGAAGAATACGTTGATATAATACATTAGGTAATGGACGAAACATAACACCAAGTATTGTCATAAAATGACCATTAAATATCCATGGTGTTGGACGATATTCTTTAAATGATGGACATTTATTAATTATAAATTGATTTTCTTCTGTTGGAATCATAATAATTGTTGATGGATATCGTTTTATTACTCTCCATATACATCCTGCAATAGCAACAGTTGATGATATAGTAAGTATTAAAATTTGTGGATGAGTTTTTAGATAAGACCAAGGCATATTAATTGAATTAAACCGTTTTCATCACATAATCTTTTGTCTCCATAATTGTTGTTATAAACGATGAAGAGGAGGACACCTTATATCATTGAATGTTTTGTCTTGTTTTTTTTCTTTCTTGAAAACACAATATGTTACAATGAGTCGACTATGACTGACATCTATAGTTTCAGGTAATATCCCTGCAAATCTAGGTCAGAAATGATTTCAAAAAGACAAAACAACAATACAATTGCATAAATCTATTTCACTGTGTTGAATTTGATATGAGAGAAAAATTTGAAATTTTTTTTGTTTTTGGTGGAACTTAAAATTGTACCTGAAATAAAAACATACCAACAAAGAAATAAAGTTCATTGTCTAACTGATCATCAGAAAATTTTAAAACTTTTTTTTTTTGTAAAGTATGACACTTATGTTTAATAAAAATGTTTTATTTAAAAATTTTAATAAGTACACTTATAACAACTGAGTAAACTTCAACTTGTTTCCATTCTAACTACATGTTTATAAATAAATTAAAATAAAAAGTATGACAACTATAAATAGAAGTAATTCTTACTGAGAAGAATAAGTCATAAATAGAAAAAGAAAAATAAAGTTTTGTTTCTAATTAACTACTATGAAAATAGTTTAAACAATACAATGATGATTATCTTAATTACATGGTATAAGATTTAAGAAATTTCAAGTTAAAACTACAACGAAGTCAGTTATATCATAAGTTTCTGTTGAACAATATCAATAGCACAAACTAAAACTGTTTTTTTTTAATAATCATTAATCATGATATCATTGTTTGTGTAAATAAATATACCATGACAGTTTTACTAAGAGTATCAATTATTGCTGACATTATACGATGAACATAAGTAAGTAATTTACCGCAAAGTATAGAACATAATATAATCCATTGCAAAAAATTGATGATGTCACTAATAACAAATAGAATGATATAGTTGGAAACAGAAATATAATTCCTTCATTTACATACAGAGTAAATCGTTCAGTTGTTAAACAATCAACTGACTAATTGAAAATATCAAGTGTTGACGAGTACTATAAAAATACAAATCCATTAAAAGTATGATTAGAATAACATAGTTAAATACTTGATCAAGTATTTGTCTATGCTATTGATGGTCACATTTATGTTTTGAGTGTTCAACTTCACATGTACACTCGATTCATTCAGAGAGAGATTGATTTGACAATGTTGTTGGTTAGGAATAGGATTAGGATGAGTTAGCAAAAACTAGATAATCATATAAAATATTGGAAAGATCTGTTTTCAAGTTATTAAAACAAGTGTATGCATTGATAACATAAGTCATACCAATGTAATCAATGCCAAAAAATGGCGAGATCTATATATGTATGAATTCTCACAAAGTTTCTTAAGCATATATTGACAGATATAAAAGTAAATTTTGATGAAAAACAAGCTATTATCAAACATTTTTTGATATTTTATCGAGCTTGATCTATCAAAGTGTAAATATTGTTGCAGTCTGGTCTCCTCAAGATCGAGTTCAATATAAAATTGCTTCTGTTCCCAAACTTAAATTAATAATCATTACGATTAATACAGTAAAAAAATTCCATGTATATCAAAGTCATTTATTATAAAAATATATTCTTGATGATCATCAGAAATATTTTATATCCATAAAAATACAGTGAATAATGATGAAAAAATAAGTCTAAAGTTCAAACATCACAATTTTTTATATCTAGTTTAGTTCTATTATTAAACTAGCTGTCATTTACATGTACAACAGAATACTAAGCGATACTGTCATCGAGATAAAAATAGAATATACAAACAACAACTCATTGTACCAATAAGAAAAGAGATATATAAATATTCTTGATATTGCAAAACATGGTTCTGTTGATATAGTTTTCGATCAAAATAGCGTCAAGTTTTAGATAAAAATATATTTGAATATTTTGCAGTAGATTCGTCTAATAGAACTATAAAAGAAAAACATTCTTACGTAGACTTTCTTATAACGTCTCACAAAGTACTTGACAAAACTTATTAAATATTTTTCAATTATAATCAAAAATAAATTATTCAACATTTTTATTATGAAATCTATTTAACTATTGTAGAGTTCAACGCAATCAGATGGAAGAAGGGTAAATTATTTTGTATATTTTCACCAAGTCTTAATATACAAATAAGATTTTAGATCAATACATAGTTACACTTGAAGATCATATTTTAAAATAAAACGAATTCTAATGAAATAAAAAACATGAAAACATTTATTTTTTTTCATAATGTCACATTATTACTTTCATAGCAGATCAATATTATTAACATTATCAACGAATGAATAATGTGTACATGTTCTTGTTTTCTTCGATCTACCTTTATTGTTTATATTTCTCGAATTAAAATAATTAAGAAAATTACGAAAACTAAAATAACAAATAAAAACAAAGCTCACTATATTGTGAAATATTTTATTAAATATGTAGTTGAATTCGGGGATTTTTAACTGATCTTACTTACATTGATGTAATAGCTCAATTTTAGAAAAAGTAATATGCGCATAGGATTGACTTATAGGATCAAAAAACAATAAAATTTAACCGATATGAGAAGAAAGAAAAATTTACAAGCATTTCGTCTCAAAGATTTGTTATGTGGACATTACTTCCTTATTATTCGTTTTTATCTTCCTACGAAAAAAAAAATCATAGTTTAAGGGCAATGAGACTTAAAAGAAGCCAACTATGTACACATAAATGGTTTTGCAGCTAGTGAAAATGATTAAAAAACAGAATCAAGAAATCTTTATCAATTTGTACTATTCAGTGCATCTTCTAAAATCAAAGTAAACGTTAGTTAATACATGGATTACCATTATCTTCCTTGACTCTTGTAATAAATTACTTGAAAAATTCATTTATTTAAACGTATTCTCAAAAGATTGGGACATCATGATTATTATTGAAAATATAATTTTTTTGAAGTCAATCATATTACTCATCGATAAAACAATTATTTAAAAGAATATTGTTTTTTCTTTAAGAAATCAACATGCAAAAACAAAACTGATAAATGCTACAACATTTGAATCAAATCTTTGGCAAGTTAAGACTTTCTTATTTTGGTTTGACTTTAGATTTTTTACAAATGATATGATTTTAATTTGTACTCAAAGATTTCTAATATGCTTATCTCTAATAATAAAACTAGGATCACATCAATTTCTGGTGAGCTTAATAATATTCAAGTTTTAGACAAAATAATCTAAATTAATCTTCTATTCAATTGTTGTCTATAGAAATTATGTATATCCAATTTTTGATTGAATAGTAAAAAGAAAAAAAATCCAAAGTTTGACTTTGGTTATAGCATTATTTTTTATTTATAATAGTGTGTTATTTCACAGTAGATGTCGATGTACATTCTGGTAATGTTTGTTTCCGTCTATTCTTTATCTCATCAAATTCAATCTTTTCCTATTTCGACATAAATCAAAATGAATCGAATTTAAAAGAAATAATTTGTCATTATCGTATTCGTCTTTTATTAAATACGATCTTTATATTTATTCTTGGATGAGATCCTATTTTCACAGTTACATGCATAAGGTTATAATTGTTAAGTTGCTTCATTTGCACCTGCTTTGTTATTACTCACGTTAAATATAAAACGAACAGATTAACTCATTTAGATAACCATATTTTTTCTATTAGTTCTTCTTACTTAGTATACTACGTAGAATATGAGTTGTATCAATAAATCATACATGACAGAGATTAAATAATTTTTTTCTGAGCTTTAATTTAATTTTTTAAGTAGTCACGACGTGAAAACACTGTAACTTGTTATGTTAACTATAATGGTATAAATAATGAGTGTTTCATATTAAATGAGCTAGTTTTTGTGTACTCAAAAAGTGAGTACACTCTAGAATCGGTCAGTATGTCCGTCCGTCCGTCCGGCCGGCCGGCCGTTAACACGATAACTTTCGAAAGGAGAGTCAGATCGTGATGAAATTTTCTACACAGTTCAGTCTTAACAATATCTCGGTCGAGTTCGAAGATGAGAAGGATTGGCCGAGCCGTTCCTGAGTTATTGCAAAAATACTCATTTTTCCCTGCACCTTCCCTATGGAAAGATCGACCCATCCCCACTTTCGTAAAAGACTTTTCCTGTCATAGTCAACTAAAACCCCAACTATTATATACCATTCGATAGAGAATTTTACGAGCTACAAAATGGTATATAAAACATAAGGAAACAAGAAAGCCAACTCAGCTATTGCAAAGATAATTAATCGGAATTCGGTTCTGTTTTTGTCACGCTCTAATTGATCCACAAATAGAGCTCTATCTTTCGATCACAGAGATGATAGTTCGAGGTTTTCTGGGGTGGAGAACTCGAATCTGTGCTCTATTCGCCTCGAAATCCCATTGGTTGAACAGTAACCAATAGAAATCAAGTTATAGAAAAAACGACTTTCTTAGGGTAAACCAAGGTGAAGAGTTCAAATCTGAGCTGTATTCATCCTCAAATCCTATTGGTTGAGCAGTAGCCAATAGAAATCAAGTGTTTATAGATAAGGTTTGCCAGAATAATTTTTATATCCCCATATTCTAGAACGACTCATCTGTCTCATTCACTTTTTGAAGTACACATAACTCTCGGATTTAAATCCGAAGTTTCCGCATTTTTTGTTCTTTCTTTCTGTTTTCTTTAGATTATTTACGAAATCTCGTTCAATAGTCTAAAATCAGAGAATGTTCTGCAGTGCGAAATTGCATAACTATTGTTCTGAAAATACTAACTAGTATTCTAAGTTAACAAATATGCAACTAAAAGTACTCCAAAGTCTCCTACTCCATCTTCGTAACAAATAAAAAATCATTCAAACCTAAAGACTCTCATAGTATTATGTTATAAAGTTTCGGATTCGAACACTTATTGGTGAATGCGAATGATGGACTCTAAATTTTTGACCCATACGTTTGCAAAGAGTGATAGAACCGGTGATGTTAGAAATTAGTACCGATCCATTGATGTTTGAACATGAAATTGTATGACAAAAACCTATTCCAACTTGCGCAATGGAGCCTTTGTTGGTATGTAGATGAAGAGAAAATTTTTTTTGGAATTTTTTCAGTTTCATCTGTTTTAAGTTAACATGATAATTGACATTTACAGTGAAAAAATTAGACCATTTTCTACAGAAGAAGTTTCTTTTCTTCTGATTTCTAAAAAAAATTTTTATAAAAAAATTTCAAGAGAAAACGAGTGAATAAAATAGGTTCATTAAACCTGACTTTCTCACTACTTTTCGTCGTTGTTTCTATGTGATAAAAGGATTCTTAATACTTCATATTGATTTCCATCAGCTAGAGTATGTCAGTGTCGATGGAATAGTAGTGGTTGTATCCATGACTATCACATGTAGTTTGTGGAGGTGGGTTTAAGCGAAGCAATTCCTTTTAAGTCACACGTTTCCACACACCTCCATTCGATTATACACTGACACGCTCGTTGATCATACTTTCTCATATTGCCAGACGTACGCTCGAACCCTTTTCATCGACTCCATCCTATTTTCTAATGCAACTACTTTCCACAGCTCGTTCGAGACCTTTAGAGGCATGATACCAGTACTGGTTACTTTGTTTTCTAGAGTCTTAGAATTTTAAACATTATTTTTCGATTTATTAGTTATTTTATATGCATCACAAAACTTATTCATCGTTCTTATTCATCTTTTGCATACTTTGTTCATTGCGAACGTAGACAATCATAGTTGGCAGGTACATGTATCTTACGTGATAAAGAAATAGAGATGAGATCATTCAATGAAGGTATCATTTGACCATATCCCTTTTTGAACAGTGCCGTTAGCATAATAAAATGTGCCTTGTCCGTTCTTCTTATCATCCTTAAGTTGCCCCAAGTGTTGTTCATAGATTGTATCAACTATTCTTTCTTATACATCAACCATTACAATAGATCAGAAGAAAACATTGATGGATGCTCCCTCTCGTATCGATCACCATTAGGCCATGTGAGAATGCCTTGACCTGTTTGCATGTCATCGACCCAATCACCTGTATACTTCTGTCCATTAGCACTGTAAAGCATGCCTTTCCCATTCCTCTTGTCATCATTATATTGTCCCGTGAGTTGTTCATAGATTGCATCAACTATTCTTTCTTATACATTCACCATTAGAATAGATCAAAAGAAGATATTTGTGAATACTTCTTCTCGTATCGATCGCCATCCGACCATGTAAAAACTCCTTGACCTACTTTCTTGTCATCAATCCAATCACCTATATACTTGTTCCCATTGGCATAGTAGTGAGTGCCTTTACCGTTCTTCTTATCATCCTTAAATTGCCCCATGTGTTGTTCATAGATTGTATCAACTATCCTTTCTAATACATTCACCATTAGAATAGATCAAAAGAAGATATTTGTGAATACTCTCTCTCGTATCGATCACCATTAGTCCATGTATAAATACCTTGACCTGTTTTCTTGTCATCAACCCAATCACC